GGGGGGGAGGGGGTACGACAACTGAGGTCTTAATTCAAGTACAAGAGATCCACCCAAAGTAAAAGTGATTGCTTTATAGAAATACATATGAAAGGTTTGCCTAGTGAAGACTGTACATTTATCTTAAAATGAATATAAAGATCTAATCAGAAAATCTCATTTCTTAAAGACAAAGACACAGACAACCAGGTGGTTGCACAGGGTGAACAAAGACCTCTTTCAATGCTAAAGAGCAAAATGTCATTTTTGAGGTCAAAAAGGTCGTTTTTCTTGGCAGATTTAGGCAGTACTTGTTTTACCATTTTCACTTCAATATTCTATAATTTTCTTGAAGCAGTGCAACTAACTTACTTCTTAATTTTTTCTAAAGAACATCCATTCCCATCTTGACTCTTCACAAACACATGAGGATTTTGAGGCTGTAAACCTTTATGAACACAGAAACCCTGAATTTTATCCTGAGGTGCAGGATTGGGGATATAAACTGACAACCTTGTAGTTAGCAGTCCATTAAAGTGTCAAAGATGGATACCTTTTATTTTTAAGGTTTGTGTGTGTGTATGCATGCATCACAAACCTCAATTTACTCAGGTTTAATTTTCCTGAAAATACCTTTATATTTGTGATTTTTATCTGTCTTTACTATACCGCTTTTTATCCTTTCTATTTTGGGAATAAGTTTTTGCTTTTCATAAGATAGTTCACCAGATTACTGCTGCTATTAGGTGCAGTCATATAGGGATTCACATTCAGAGGGAGAGTGTTAGGCCAGGTTGTCTGGAGAAACAAATCCAGTGGCACTCATCGAGATATAAAAAAGAGCTCTATATCAAGAAGTATTTATATATCAAGAAGGCATCCTAGCCCCATCCAGCTCCAGTGACACAGAAAAGTGAACTGAACCAGGAAGCAGGAAGATTATAGGCCACTCGGTGCAGTTAAGAGGATTCAAGGTCAGTGGAAACATGACAGGGCACTGGAAGGCAGCTCTCAGGGTCCGGTGACCCACAGGGGGCCATGCTTAAAGGAGGCAGGCAGTGTTCCAACAGATTGGAAGGCTGGAGGGTGGAAAGAACAGTTCCCAGAGATCCTCACACCTGTACAAAAGGCCACACCCAAAGGCACCATCAAGCAAGCTACTGCTTGATTGACAGATTTCATTCCACACCTAGAGCCATGAGTGGTCTAGTTGGCATAATCCCTAACCACCAGAGACCCCTCTGTATAACAGAATAAAACACGGCTTGATCCTGCGTTTATTATATTTGAGTCCACTCCTTGAGTGCAGCCATCTCCTTGAGTCTTCCTCTTTGTCTCAGACCAAGCATGATGTCCTTTTCCGGGGAATGGTGTCTCCTGATAACATATCCAACGTAAGTGATAAAGTCTGGCCATACTTTCAATGAGCATTTTGGCTGTATTTCCTCTAAGAAAGATTTGCTTGTTCTTCTGGCCAACTAAAGCCAATCCAAACTCACTACACCATCAAGTCGATTTCGACTCATGGCAACCCTAGGGGAGAGATTAGCTTGCCCTTTGGCTGTATACTTCTATGGAGCAGAGAGCCTACCTTTGTCCCTCAGTGGCTGGTGAGTTTGAACAGCTTACCTTGCAATCTACTATACCACCAGGGTAATTTCCACATTCTTCAACACCTTAATTCAAAAGCACCAATTCTTCAGCTTTCCTCATTCAGTACCTAGCTTTCACATTCATGAGGCAATTGTCCTGGTGGTTCTGTTGGCTTAGCATTGGACTGCAAATCACGAAGTCAGATGTTCAAACACACAAGTTGCTTTTTGGGATAAAGTTGAGGCTATTTACTTCCATAATGATTTACAGCCTGTATAGCTTTCCTATGAGTAGAAATTGACTTGAGGGTAGTGGGCTTGCTTTTGGGCCCGGCTCATCAGTCGACAGGGGGCTTCTTGTTTTCTAAAGCTTTAGGTGGGCTCTTGCAGCAGATTTGCACAGTACACTAATACATTTCATTTTTTTGACTTACTGCTTCCACGAGCAATGATGGCGGGTCAAAGAAAAACAACAAAAAATCCTTGACTTCAATCTTTTGGAAAAATATCGTGATATTTATAATGATGTGATGATTTTCTCCTCTTGATGCGGAGGTACGATCCATACTGTAAGCTGTAGTCTTTGATCTTAGTCTTTCCTTTCTTCTTCACTCTCAGCAAGCAACGTTGTGTCATTTGTGTACTAGAAGTTGCTAATGATGCTCTTCTTCATTATTCCAGCTTTTCAGATTATTTGTTCAACTTTTGTGGTGAAAAGATCCAAATTGGACACACACCTTTCCTGATTTTCGTACACACAGTACCTCTTTGTTCTGCTCCAAGTTTCTCATGAGCACAACTAAGTGTTCTGGAACTTCCAGTCCTTTTATGACCCATGTAGTCTAATGCTTTTACATAGGCAAGAGAACACAGGTTAACATTTGTGCTTCCTGCTTCCAAATCCCCGATGCCAGTAAAGGTATCACTTGTACCAGGCACTCGTCTGAAGCCAGCCAGAGTTTCTGGCAGTTCCCTGTCAATGCACTGCTGCAACCACTCTTTAACACCTTCAATAACATTTTGTTTGCATTTCATACGATACCAATCAATTATTTTCCAATTTATGTTGGGTGAATTTTCTTCAGAACTGGCACAAATTTGAAAGACAGCTACTCGAAGAATCCGCAATGATAGCTGTCTTTCAAATTTCTTGGCATATAAGAGTGAATAGCCAACCTACAGCACTGCACCTGTTTGAATGAAGCATCATACTTTGGTTTAAAAAATTTTTTAATACCTTCATCTTAAACTACACTCAAGTAGCTATGGTCTGTTTTGCTGTCAGTCCCTGAACTTGTTTGCACCAATACTGAGCCTTTCCATCTTTCCAGAGCTGTTATCTGTTTGACTTCTGTGTATTCCATCCAGGGAAATAATTGCTGTTTATATCTTACTGAAACAGGAGATTTTCAATGAATACACTGTTAGTCTTGCAAAATTCTATCACGTGATCTCTGGTGACATTTTAACAATATATACACTTTCCAGTCACCAAGCCAAGCCTTCTTGTTTCAACTTTCCCAATACAATCAGTTCTATTGATTCCAGATGGAAAAGTTCAGTAGAATTCAATTTCTTCATCACTGACTTTAGTGCAGCACAAATTTGAAACTGGCATTAACTGGTCTACCTTGTAGGCACAGAGATACTACCCTATCACCAAGAGCATCACATGTCAGCATACACCTTAAAGTGTTCCTTTCTGACAAGGGATGAGAAGCCATTCATTTCCAATATGTCATTTCTAGCACAGCTGACCGACCATATGCTTGTCTGAATCAACATGGCCAATACTACTTCATATTGGTAATGCCTAGATGTTGATCTTTATGCATCATATTTCACTTCCTATAAAACCCATCTTTCTTAGATCCGTACATACTGCATACATTCCACTTATAATTATTAATAGATGGTTGTAGCTGTTCCTTCTCAGGTTGAGTTATGCCACATTACTAGACACTGGCTCAGAACTTTACACCATCTAAATCACTAAGGCAGTCTACTTTGAGAAAGCCGCACTTCCCCTGTCACAGTTTTTTTGGCCTTCCAACCTGAAGAGCTCATCTCTTGGCACTAGATCAGGCAATGTGTCATTCCTATTTATACGATTTCAAATTCTTTCAGAAGTACATCACCAGATCGTTCTTCCTATTCTGTCTTAAGACGATTAGACACACTACTACACATACCACCAAGGGTAGCTCTGATGGCATACGAAAGACCATTGGCATAGCTTCTAGTATCACAACACACAAGCCACCACAGTATACCAAGTGACAGAGTAGGCCATGGTGATTTTTAATAAAAGAAGAAAATTTTCATTTCTAATCTAGATACTAGAAATCAAAGGCATTATCAAATGCCTACAAGATCCTAGAAAAGGTAATTAAAGGAATGGTGCGAAAATACTTGCAAAACTGCTACCACTGGTAGTCAACAAAGAGTTAATAAAAGCAAATGATGTAATCACTATTTCCTCGTCAGATAAACTTAGAACACTGAAAACTCCAGCTAATAAACTGCATTCCAGCAGTCTTGCGTGGCTAATACATATAAAGTCTACTGCATCAAGGTTTGGGAAAATGACCTTAAAATTAACATGCCAAAAGATCAACAAGCTAGTTTGTTGATCTTACACTCCTAAAATAAATAAATCACCTTTTAATTTTATTGGTTCTGTTTTCTATTTGCTATTTCATTTACCGTATATACTCGAGTATAAGCAGACTCGAATATCAGCCGAGGGACCTAATTTTACCACAAAAAATGCACTAAAAAACTTGGCTTATACGGTAACTCTCTACAATTTATCTCCATTCTAATTTATGACTTTACTTCTGGTCTCTTTCAGCTCAGTTTGCTCTTTTGTACTTCTTCAAGATGTAGCATAGTTTGAAATCTTCTTCTTCCTTAATCTAAGGGCTTAACAAGTTTCCCTCTGCAGCACTGCCTTTGCTATATCCCTTTAAGTTTTGCTATATTGTGTTTTTATTTTCTATTAACTCTAAATTTCATTTTCTAATTTTCCCTGTGATTTCGTATTTGTAGTAATGGTTAAGAGTATGTTATATTTAAGAATCTTAGTTTTTATGTCTAGTTTTATGCCACTGTGAATGAAGATACTTTGTATTATTTAAATCTTTTTACACGAACTAAGATTTGCTTTGTCACCTAACAAATGGTCCAGTCCAGGGGTCCACATACTTTTGGGTCAAAAGAGCAATCCGGTCACTCTCAACAATTTAAAAATTATTCAAGAACCACAAATATGTTTTTACAAACAAATGAAATCATTACTATCTGAATAATATCCTTTAAAATGAATGAAAATGTGGCAGTTTTATTTTCATTTACTTCAGACACATGTACATACTGAAAGAGACACACATGGCTCACAAGGCCATTTGTCACCCCCTGGTCTAGCCCGAAGAATTATCCACTGCACCGGAAAAGAATGTGTACTGTGCTGTTATTGCGTGGAATGTTCTGTTAGGTATGGTTGGCTTATAGTGTTAGTCAAGTTCTTTATTTTCTTGCTGATCTTCTGTTTAGATCATCTACTGCCTATTGAAATCAGCGTACTGAACTGAAGTATCCAATTACAATCGGAAAGTTGCCTCTTTTTCCTTTGAGTCTGTCAATATTTGTTTCATAAATTTTTAAATGGAGAGAAAATGTTTTGAGAAACGATGTACAAATGCGCTTTACACAACTGATGTGTGTATGGATTGGGATAACAGTTGTATGAACCCCTAATAAAATGTTAAAAAAGAAAAAGAAAAAAAAAAAGAAAGAAAATGGAGAAAAAAAATTTGGGGATGCTTGTTAAAGTATATGCATTTATAATTGATAATTCAGGCTACGTGACTCTTTTATCATTATATAATATATTTCTCTGGGTCTTAAAAAGATTCAGGCTTAAAGTCGATTTGGCCTTCTCTAATCAAGCTTCTTTGATCACTAAGAGCTGCTATAACTTCACGATCACTAAGGGTCCATCACAAAACAAATAATGGGTGAGAGCACAGTCTAACTGTGCACAACAATACTCCAAACTCAGAGCTGAACTTGACATGTTGACAGATTTCAGGAAAAAAGTAAACTTCCAGCAGAAAGAGGGTTTTGATGTTGGAAGCTACACCGGCAGTTCTTGCATTAGGAAGCACTGTGTGGGGGAGGTTTCTACACTGCTATCCAGCTCTGGTGGTACAGTTGTTTGTGTATTAAGGGCACTGCCTCAGAGCCAGCAGCTCGAAAATCACCAGCCCAGCTGGGGTGGTGAAAGATGATATGCTATACTCCCATGAAGATTTGGAGTCTTGGAAATCCACATGGCGGTCCTACAGAATTGCTATGGAATTGATTGTATGCCAATGAGTCTGAGTTCAAATCTAGGGGTATCTGACAAAAGAGAAGGAGTAACAGGGCTCCACAGCCTCGCTCAAGTCCTCAGACTCCTATCTGTTGAAATTAGTAGACTTCCATAGAACACCAATCCAAAGGGTTTCTACATTTCTAAAAAGCTTGAAAAGTAGCTTTTGACAATATCTTCAGACCACTCTAAATTAAGTTCTGTGTAACAATTACTCTGTATGTAAATTCCATAGTAATGCTAAATACTAATGACTATCTTTCTTGGAATTTTATTTATAAAGATGTTAAGCAAAAGGGCAAGTAAATGACTTACCCAAGGTCAGAGATATGAGGAGGTAGAACTTGGAATCCAGCCCAGGCCTTCAGACATTTATGGGCCCAAGTGCCCTTTTAACATAACACAATCCAGTGTGTTTGAAAAGGGTAGGGGAAGAGGTGGTGGGGAAGAGAATGTTCAACGAGGAATAGAAAGAGTAAAAAAATTAACCAAACGCCTAGCTCAATACTGGAATATATTAGGGGACTCAATTTAAACCTGATTATATTCCTTTCCTCGGTGGCGTACTGGTTACGAGTTAGGCTGCTAACCACAAGGTACACAAGTGAAAACGGAGAAAAAGATTTTCTACTCCCAAAAGACTTCACTGTCTTGGAAACCCACAGGGGCAGTTCTATCCTGCCCTAAAGGGTCCAGTCGACTTGAGTTTGGGTTTTGGTTAGCATCATTATTAGGAATTGTGTGTTTGTGGTTTTTTTGGGTGGGGGTGGGAGCAGTTCTCTTATAAACAATAACAATAGGCATGTGGTAAATATTAGTTAAGAGAAGCATATAAAATAGGTAAAAAGAGAAAAATGGAAGAGCATAAAGAATGGTTATGAGCTAGTTGCTCAGTTGTCTTATTCTTATCTGCATTCAGGGCAAAATGCTACATCTATTGACTGCCTCAACACAGGTGATCTAACATAGACGTCTACACAGATGCTTGCTAGAGGTAACCACGTCTTTCCTCTATAATCTAAAAACTACTGTCTTTTTGGTTCTTCCTCATTTAAGTAAAAAGAACACTTAAGACAACATGCTGAAAAAGTTGGCACACTTGTGAGCTTAATCTTAAGTACAAAATCCTTGAACTTACTGCCAGGAGGCACTCAGCCATTCACATTATTTACTTAGCCACCTATCAAGGTTACCATCATCCTCAGTTCAGACTACGTAAGATTAACTTACTTCAGTAAATCTGCTGATAAAGACTTTGCAACTGAGTTGATTTAGTAAAAATCTTTCCCCTCTAAACAAACCAAATCCACCGACGTGTGTCCATTTCAACTCAGAGCAACTCCAGAGGACAGAGTAACTGCCCTTTTGTGAGTTTCCGAGACTAAGTCTTTACAGAAGTAAAGGCTTCATCTTTTTCCATGGAGTATGAGTGGCTTCGAATTGCTTGTCTTGCAGTTAGCAGGCTAGCATATAAACCCACTACACCAGGATGTATTTCTACAATTACCTGTGGAAAAGAAACTAATAAATAAAGCTACAGCTGCTGTGAGCCAGGGAGTCAAAGGCTGGCCTTCCTTTAGTTACCAGCTAGAACCATAAGCAAATCACACTGGATCACAGTAAATCAAATCCATGAGGGCACACTGCCTACAGCAAGCAGTGACATATATCAAGACTACTGCCCACAAATGAAAAGTCACTACATGAAAATTCTATAATTTAGGCTTTTCATTTCAAGGTCAGTACCAGGTGAGTAACAACAGCTGGAAAAGAGAAAACCACCACCAATCAACACGTATTACCTGTTTGTTAATGTTGGCTCCTGCTTGGATCAACCACATTAGACAGTGAGGATGTCCTCCAAAAGCTGCGATGTGGGCTGGCGTCTGGGCGTACCGAGTGGTGGAGACATTTAGAGTGGCCCCAGCTCTCACCAACTCTATTAAGCACTCCAGCTTCAAAAACAACAGGAATCAGAATGAAACACAAGCATACATGTCAGCATCGTATCAGACCTGGGTATTATAAGACAATCTAAATTCTAAAATGACAATAAATGACATCTGGGATAACAGATTTTTTTCCTTTGTTTTCAAGAGAACAAATAAGTCTTATTCCAATTTAACTCAAGTTCTTAAACACATTTTCTTTTTAATTGGCATACAGGAATAGGAGAAACTAAAAAAA